GCGATCGTCTGCGATCGTCTGCGATCGTCTGCGATCATATGGAAACCAGCCTTATACCTGTACCGGCTAAACCGGAAGTTGCAAAGCTCAGAAAGTTGCGAAAAGTTGTGGAAAAACCGGGAGGGTGGTTTACTTTCGCAGCTTTACAAAACATGTGTCGGTCACCAAGGGTCATAAAGTTTCGCCAGGTTTAATTCCAGTTTATAGCTTTTACTATCAGTATCGACAAAGCATTATATTATGTATGTGTCGGGAAAAGAGATTCTGAGCGGCGTTCTTCCCGAAATTTAGGCCACTTCCGAGTTGCCTTTTGCCTCGGCGTCAAAACGAGTCTTCGTGCGAAACCATTCATATGGAAATGTGTTCCGCGTGCAACATGCAGTTAGTAACTGCAGGAGACAAATACCTCCCAGATGTTCCTCCCGGTGTTCCACAATTCCGCGTCTGAATCAGATCCAAAAACAGCCGCGCTATAAAACTTTTAGCCTGCGAGCAAGCTTTCTGGGCACCGCCACCTTTTCTAACACCTACCATTAGAAGTATAGGTGACTGACTCGAAAAAATTAAAGCACATTGTATATAGACCACTTATTGAAAGCTCCCTGCTTGCCTTACATGTAATCCAGGCGTGGAGATCCCAAGCGATGGATTAAGAGTTCGTTATCGCTCGCTTCGCTCATAAACTCGTATGAAATAAAAAGTCTGTGGACAGGCTACGTGGAGAAATGTTCATCAAACAAATATCAACAAGCGCAGTCAGGGATGATCGGTCTTCGGAGGAGAGCACTATCAATTCAATAGGCTATCCAGTGACTCCCTAAGTGCCTAGCGCTCACAGTTTCCTCTTTTTTCTTCCCCTGAGAAGTGGCACATGAATTTCCGCCAATTTCTCGTCTCCGGTCGGTCTCAGACTTCTTTTGGCTGGTTATTTTTCTCTGGCATTTTAGATCTCTTATTCTGGGGTGCAAACCGTGTTTCTTTGAAGAGTTGATTTTCCCCTTTGGTCTGCTTTAAAATAATAATGATTTTCAATCTTTTGTGACCTTTTTTCCACCCACCCCCCACTCCACAGTGGGGTGGTGGGGTAACATGGAATTGCCGCCACTTCCTCATAGACTTCTTTCCGCGTTATTTATTATTTTTTTTATGCCATTGAAAATTTCGTACTCTGCCGGTGTTACCTTGAAGTAGGGGTTTTGTTTTTTACCCGTGGTCTGAAATAATGGTGATTTTTGAACGGCACTTAAAAGGCCGGTGACACCATAAATGTCTTGCTTGAAGACGATGCAGGCAGACTGGAAGTAACAAGTGGTTTTTTTCACACTCGAAAATGAGCGCCCCCCTTACAATAACTGACACCGCATTGAATTAATTTAAAGTCTCTCTCCAGTGGCCGTTCGTTACAAAACTGACCGAAAATTAACTAGCCCTTATGCTCTGCCCTCATGCCATCTTCTAAAACGGATCGTCACGCAACAGTATAACCCAACGATCGTCGAGGAGAAGACCCTGGGGACGAGGTTGAGACGTGGCGTCACGCTGGTATCAGGAATCGTGTCACGGTCGCCGGCAGAAGACCCTGACAACAAGTACTGAAACCTGTGGAAGAAACGCAGAATACGAAGTCAAGAAAGTCTAAATAATTATAGCATTCCGTTTATTCTATATGAATATGGCGGAGGCAAAGACAGATAAAGGGAAAGTAGCTTTAATTACGGGTATAACTGGCCAGGTAAGAATCTTCAGACAATTTTCCCATGGACGTAGCAGAGCATGGCCGTGTTTGATTGAATTATCTTTATTTGATAAACTTGAACGGTGCTGACATGGCATGAGAGGCCACAATGTCTTACGGTCATCTCAGAACACTAAAATCCTGATAAGTTTACAATGAACGGACTCATCAAAAGCTATTGGTGTAGTAATCGTCCAAAGACACATGTAGTCCAGTACTGTAGCAGAAATATACGGCTAAGGTTATGTAAGCTTATCCATAAGGTGCGAAATTTTTGAAAAGGAATAATCTTGATTCCAAAATTGAAATCCAGTGCCAAAGGGTAGCAATACGCAGATCTGTTTATTTTCACAAATTCTCGATGATCGTGATCTTTCAAAGTTATAGAGCTAATATACATATACTGATCCATTCACAATCTTTAAGGGTGTGATTGAAGCTTTAGTGAGACCCCGGGACTGAGACCCGCGATTACAGATATCCACAAGCTTTACACTTGTCTTTGAATTGTAGGCTAATATAGCGAAGATTTCGGTAAACGTCACGTAGTGTTATTTATGCGCCAACCAGGAAACTATTTATTGCTGAAACGAAATCTTTAGTTTGATTTCTTGGACATTTCATTGTTTGAAAACATTATTATTGGTTAGCCGGTGTCACAGTGATATGTGTATCCCCGTGATATGTGTATCCCTGCACATATATCACTAGTGATATGTGTCTCCCCTGTGGGGATACACAAAACACTGATACGTGCCTGGGCATTCAACGAACGAAAAGGGGACTCGGTTGCGAGGTTCCAACGAGCGCTGTAAAGAGTAGGAGAAACCAGAAATTAATTCGCGCCCAATGGAGCAGCTTAGGATTTCTTGAGTTTGGTTGAGTTCCAACCGACTCGATTGTATATCTGACTAAAACTTGGAGCAGCGGTTACACATATAACAAATTATTTCATGGCGCAGTGATCTCAGTGTGTATCCTCTAAACACAGCCAATTGGCTATCTACGTGATCGAAAAATGGGCCAATTATTGCCGAAACGTGCTGGCTGCTTACTCGCGACGACGTTTATACCCAGGTTGAGGTTTGCGGAGTTTCCAACTCGAATGTCTAAATATCT